TGATGCAGGATCGCCTTTTCGTAAAGCCGTGTTGCGCTGGCGTCAATACGTCCATCGATTCGAAGAACGACAGCAGACACTTTTTCACAATCTTCTCGAGAACTTTGGATAATACCGAAGTCAAACAGATCTGTCTATAGTTCTCTACTTTACTCGGATCACCACGCTTGGGAAGCGGTTTCACTATCGAGCATTTCCAGTCGTTCGGGACGGATCGTTCAGAGAGTGATCTATTGAAAAGGTTTGTCACAGCTGGTGAGACGACAATTGATAGGGACTTGAGTATTAGTGGGTGAAGTCCGTCTGGTCCGGGGGGCTTTGCACCGAGGTTGACGAGTAGCTGGTACACTTCGACTGCATCACATTGTAGGCTGTCGAGCAAGACTTGCGCAACCTGTGCCGGTACTGTAACAGCCGCCGGTTTACTGGAAAATACAGTGAGGAAGTGCGTAGCCAGGGCGTCCGCGCGCTCCGCGCTTGAAATGTGTGTCTTCCCGTCTAAGCTCTCTAAGACCGGTAGGTCATCCCCAGGTTTCAGTTGACGTTTCAAGTAGGCAAATATTCACTTGGATGCAGTTGCGGCCGAGGATGCTAGGTCCTCTTCGAACTGCCGGCATTTCTTGAGTTTTGCGGCGTTACATAAGTTATGCTGTTTCTTGTACACCGTGTAATCTTCATCACAACCCGAGCTGATGTATCTATCCCAAAGTTTACGACGTCGTCGCGCTAACTGTCTGTATTCCCTATCAAACCAATGCGGTTCGACAGGTCCGATTTTTGGATACTTAAGGGGAACGAACCGAGTACAGATTGTTAAGCTTCCCCTTTATTAATGACCACCAGGCCTCGAGTGACGCATCATGTGGTAGTGTCCAATCAGTCTGACTTGCGGCTTGGACGAGTCCGTTGAAGTCCGTCTTCCAATAGTTGAATGTCGGCTTCTGTTTATTGTAATATGGTAACGACAGTTCTAAGCTTGCTACAATAGAGCAGTGGTCACTGTTCGCCAGAGGTTCGATGATTCTGATCTCTTTTAGTTTCTGCTCGCAGCTCGTAAACATTAGGTCCAGACAAGATGCCGAGTACGGAGTTACGCGCGTCGGTTGGATGACATGTTGCGTTGCCTCGATTTCAATAGTCATTTTAGCGAATTGAACCTCAACGTTGCCATGGCCGGGAAGAAGTCGAACATCTGGCTAAATTATCTTAGGTAAATTTAGATCCCCCATCAGTAAGAACTGAGGGCGGCTCATGTGCCTCTCTACATGTGGTATCCAATCGTAGCTATGGTTTAATGGGCTCCGGTAGATAACCCCCACTATTAGTTCTGCGCGCCTGAGGCGGATTGTGCACCACAATTGCTCGCATAAACTATCCTCGCTCCGATAGGTACTGATAAGTTTTCCAGATAGTGACAATTTTATGTACAACAGAACACCACCGTGAGCCTTTGATTTTCGGTCGCATCGGAAACAAGTGTATCCTGACAACACGACTTCTTGGGGTATGACGTCGGAGTTTAGCCATGTCTCTGCAAGTCCTAAAATATCCGGCCGCTCCGAGACAGCGAAGCGGCACAGTTCGTCACGTTTGTTCATTAGGCTGCTCATGTTGGCGAATGCCACACGGAGGTCCTGGGAGGTACTGCGGGACGTGCCTGGAGGTTGAGCAACCGGTTGATACGGGTTCGTACACCCTTCTTGATCACCCGAAAATTTACAACTTGTAAGTCAGTCTCACCTTCCTCTGTACGGCGTTTGAGCTCAATGACTGCAGTCTTCAAACGATCCCTGTCTTCGGGTTCCAAGTCTCGGCGGATGTGAACTTTTATGCCTTTCAGCCTTGACAGACGAGACAGTATGAGCTGCGGCATATTAGGATTTGCAAAGGTGATCCTCAGAGGTCGACGTGACTGGTTTGTTTTCTGGCCAAGTCGGATTACTTGTTTAATCGTCACACTGTCCTCGCCCACATCCAAGAGTCTATCGATGAGCCCCTGGAGGAACTCAACATCGTGATCATAACGTATCTGAGGGTTTTCATCTTTTGACTCCGGTACGTGGAAGACCATGAGATTATGACGCCTCAGCGAAATCAGTAATGAACCTGTGGGAGCAGAACTAGAGACGCTTAACTGATTGGGTTGCTGTTTATCAGCAGGTGACGTCTGAACTCGATTACGTGGGCCCTTGCGCTTTTGAGTGGTCCATGGATCCTCGGCGTTCAGAAGTTCACAGACAGGCTCTGAGAAATTCACGGACCGATCAGTGAAGCGGCATTTCGTAGCTTCTGAGTCTGAGTCTTCCATCGGTGGGAAGCATTGAACCTGGGGTTCGGCCGGGGTCGAAGACGCTGGTGATGGTGCAGATCGCGGAGTGACAATAGAAGGCGAGGAGACAGAGGTATTTTCACGAGGGCGTTTGATCCCACGTGGTGAACGGTTTGTTTCTATCTGAAAGAGAGATTTTCCCGTAGTTGTTTGCGGTCGCTGCGAATTCTGATGTCTTGTATGGCGACATTTACCACATATAACTTGAAAAACCGATGTCGGATGTCGAGCGATTTTCGAAACACGTCAACGGATAAGCCAATGCACGAAATGTGGAACAAAACATCACAGCCGAAGCATCGAAGTGCATGAGCCTTATTTCCCACAACTTTCGAACACGAACCACAAGTAGCTTGAGACGGCATCACAAGCTAGAGCAAATCCAAGATGGCGGACAGAGATGGCAGTATGGCAAATCAATGAGATCTCCGGAATTAGACAAAGAATAGCCGCCAAATTTGCAGCGCTTGGAAAATACGCCAAAAGAAGAATAATGGTGCACAATTCACACAGATAAAACGCTGCTAACACAGTACTCTGAGGCAAAAGTAGTATCCAGCACACGTTGATCCAAAAATCCGCGACGTCCGTGGGTACAAAAAACCAAAAGGCTAAACTTCAGAAAACATCTCCCAGTCTATAAGAGAGGAAGGTTAGACTTAGGCTACATCCCGATTCTCGGATGTCCACCAATGAGTCGCACAATCTAATACGAGAGACGAGCTTTTAGTCAGCACGATAATTCCGCCTGGTAGATCCGATGGTCTATGGCCTAGGCAAGCAGACTGACGAGGGACAATACAACACGAGTAACCGTAACCAGAAGCGGATGGAAACTCGTGTATCTCAGATTTTTGAAATGAGAATAGAAAAGATTAGTTAAAATGTGGAACTGTACAAACACTACATGGTAATCAGTGTACATTACGATCACAGTTCACAGATCATGAGGCATGTGGAAGTGAGCCGCGTTTCACTAACTGAGCCAGTCCCCACTCCTTCAATATTCACAGTGGCATCATTCCTGTTTACCCATGTAAGGAATCATGTGTACCGGACATTCACAAGGTGGTGACTGGGACGTGGTCCGCTCCACACTGTTCATGGAACCACCCCCTGAGCCTAGCACGACCATGAGGACCATGCATCCCATCCCTCCAGCAACGATTCACAGTCTCTTGGAGCCAGTAATCGGACTGGAGGGGGTTAGACAGGCAGGCACCTTGTCAACATTCACAAACCAAATGAAGTGAAATGACTTTCATTCAAATTAAAAAGAACTAGTTTAAGTGTAAGTCGGTTTAACCAACGGCAGTGAAGAAGCATCAACCTCACCATGAGGCAGTCAAATATGCTTGTCGGCATCTGGTTTCGGAGTTGCCTGTCACTGTGGTCAGCCACAGGACGCCTGCGCCTACAGAGGGACCATGGATGGCTTGCGCTGCACCACCCACAGCTCCAACCACATACCCCATATCCAGTGTAAACCCGAAGGAATAAGACCGGGAGGCATGCGGATGGGAACCACGTTTCATCAACGGAGCCGGCCCACACTCCTTCACAGGCAAACACAAGCACACTGTATTTGGGGAATCAAACGCACACAAGGCTGTGGCTGGACCGTAGTCCGCTCCACACTGAGTGCATGGAACCAATCTTCGAGCCTAGCACGACCACAAGGACCGTGTACCCGGTCCCCTCCAGCAACGACCAACTGTCTCCTGGAGCCAGTATGGACGAGGTAGTGGGTAATAGACAGGTAGGCACCTTATCAACTTGTACATCCAGCGCAGCCACACCGAGGATGTCAAACAACAGTCATTCACTTGAAATGACAATATCAAATAAAATATATCTGTTAAAGAATACGGCTATGCAGACATAACTCTTCCCTAAATTAGCATGTGAAGTAAGCTGGTTAGCAACGAAACCGCGATAAGTACAAAACATCCATAAGCTATACAAAATGCTACAAACGCAATAAAGTTAACGAAGATAATCGCAATTTGCGTAAACAATGTGGCCAGTTAATGGAAGATTATTCAGGTAGGCAGAACAAACCAAATAAATTGGAATGAAATTTATCCAGCTTAAAAAGACCTAGTGTAAGTGTTAGTTGGTTTAGCCCAACTACGGTGAAGATGCATCATGAAGGCAACATCAGCCTCAGCATAAGGCCCTCATTATATAGTAGACGAATAGTTCTGTCGGCAACGTGCTATCGCATGCCAATGATGCCAAACAGACTACAGGGTTAAAGTCCTGATTGGGAGTGAACCGTCTGGCAACAATGTCGTCATCTATTATGACCGTTGATCCTACCAAAATTGGATACCGATCGGACGTACTGTGGACATCAGGTCTTTTACCAGGGAGTCAAGTGTTCCAACGTAACCAAGCTTGAAATTAGTGTATCAACGATGTGAACCTTATTCGAATTACGCTGTTCAGTGGATGTAAAATATCAACTTTTCTAATAACAGTTAGCAAGAGCCTCGATGACAAATTCAAGCCTTAGTGTTATAATAGTTAGCCGTTGTTAAGCAAAAATCTGTTTAGTATAAATGTACACTAATATCATATATCTTGTGAAGACTCTGACATCACTCTCACTTACAGCACCTATGGTAAGCTGAGCGAATTGGCATAGAAATGCAAAGACTTTGCTTACTGCTGTTTACTGACGTCGGTTGAGAGGTGTTTGAAGCATTGGTATCGATTCCGACCACGTGCTAGTCAAATTCTGATTGGACAGCAATGCGTGTGGTTCCTGTGATGGGAACAAAAGTTAACTTTCTGGTTTCTGATTTTCCTAACAAAATCTTCAATGCAATCAATTCGAGCCTGTTTCAGTTTTCTTTATCGCAGCCGCTTTTATGGCGAAAAGCGTTAATGTCTTCATGCCTAGTGTCCCATACAGTGTGGATTCTTCTCAGCTATGGTAGGCTAGTAATTTAAACTAAGCAGTACATTCCGATTAGTGTACAAAAAGGAATAATTTATGGCAGTATTTTCTGCATAAATCAAATCTGTACATCCGCTTCGGCCATCACGGTTAAACGCAAAACCAAGTAGATTAGTTCATATAGCATCGATCGTTTGGTTTCGGCGTGCCCGTGATTGCGCGCGGACCTCGTTTTGACTTACCAAATTTTGACAGATTCCAACCACACGTTCCGCCATTTGCTGGAGCTCACTCGCAACAGCAAATTGAGAGGCCACCATCTCAAGCTAGCACAGCAGCACAGTCGTTTAGAATGCCGTCGGAAATTATTTACCGTACGTGTTTGCAGAACGTGGAATACTCTACCGGAACCTGTCGTTTGTGCTCCCACGCTGGCAGAGTTCAAAGCGCGAGTTCACCGTGTAGTTATTTCGCTACACCATCTTATATGACCTATTACCGATGGATAAACACAAGTGTCTGTAAGCGATTTCACTGGCGGTCAAATCACATATTTCGTTCCACCTTTTTCACTTGTATGTGTGCACCAGAAGGAGACACGATTTTTACCAATATCCCATTTGCCATCATTTCTCATGGATTTACCTTGTGTTTTCAATCTATACTACGTATACTTAAGTGAGACTGAGACTGAGACTGAGACTGTATTTAAGAGCAAGTAGAAAGGTTTCTGTACAACTCTATCGAATTACGAAAAATCGAAATTTACTTGTGAATTATCAGCAGTTGTGTCTGGTCCGTTAATCGTTTATCCCTGTTCAGTTAGAAATTTGTACTAGCGTCATTTTTTCCGGACATACAATGTCTTTTTTGGCAATGTGCTGTGCCATTTGGGGCCAGTACAGAAGCGATGACGGGTCCTGCAGTGAATTACGACGAGCCGGCGCAGCGTTTGTAGGCACGCTGAATTCGATTTACTAACCGCGTGCTTGCATGCTGAGTCTCTTTATTTCAGGTGGTGGGTTTACAGTTTTCACCTTAATGCTTTCCTTTCTCATATAAATGTCTACCCGTTCTCTATTCCATTAATTTACACACCTCGCCTAAGCCAATTGTATTCGATTTCCGTATCATTTTTGTGTTCGTGGCATTCCGTGAACTATATTTCCTGACCTCGTGCACTTAGCTAGGATTTGTTTGTAAACAACTTATTACGTATGCTATTTAATTAAGGTTTATATCACCGTTTCCTTATGCATTAATCGAGTTTTTCTCTTTCTCTTTTTCTTTCTCTCTCTCTCTCTCAAGTGTTTGGCTGTTGTTTGAAATCCCCGGTGTGGATGCGCTTGATGTGCATGTTGACAAGGTGCCTACCTGTCTATTACCCACTACCTCGTCCATACTGGCTCCAGGAGACAGTTGGTCGTTGCTGGAGGGGACAGGGTGCACGGTCCTTGTAGCCGTGTTAGGATCAAAGAGTGGTTCCATGCAGTCAGTGTGGAGCGGACTACGGTCCAGCCACCGCCTTGTGTGCGCTTGATTCCCCAAATACAGTGTGCTTGTGTTTGCCTGTGAAGGAGTGTGGGCCGGCTCCGTTGATGAAACGTGGTTCCCATCCGCATGCCTCCCGGTCTTATTCCTTCGGGTTTACACTGGATATGGGGTATGTGGTTGGAGCTGTGGGTGGTGCAGCGCAAGCCATCCATGGTCCCTCTGTAGGCGCAGGCGTCCTGTGGCTTGCCACAGTGACAGGCAAATCCGAAACCGGATGCCGCCAACCATGTGCATCGTTTCACAAAAGCACAGGTTTCCAAAATAATCGTCGATACGGGTTTTAAAACACTTCACAGAATCGGCCTCTATTAATCCTTCTGGTAGTGTATTCCATAAGTTTACGATTCTTCGTTCGATACAAAGCTGATGTGATACTTTGTTCATACTGGGGACCCTGAGTTTGTAACGATGTCCTCGGGTGTTACAGGGTTCTCGCAGGTGAAATATGTATTGAATTTCCACAATAATCATCCTACGGGACCTGTTAAGCAGCAGCATTTTTACCCGTATAAAGGCATTGTTCCGTTGTAAGCGGGTCGGAGAACACATAACGGAGTGGGTTAATGCCGTTACGCGAGGTCATAGACAAGGACAGGCTTTGAACATCAAAATGCCGACCTCGTCGATTGCTAAGCACTTACTGAGCACAGGTCATCAAGTTTGCGATTATCTACCCCAATATAAACGCCAAACTACTCAAGCTCGCTGATGCCGTATCCATTAACTGCAACTGCCCTGACCTTTGTGTGCAAAAAAACAGCTGATTGTTACACTCAAGCTTCCTTGGGGACCGTAACATTTATTTCACAATCTGTGATGCTGCTGTGGTCTATGATGGTATGTGCTTGCTCATACGAATTGCAAACTTTGATTCTCTTGCATCGTTGATTGTTTTGCATGTGCTCAGAGAGTACGAATCGACGTCATTTTGCAATATCTGTCTTCTCATTGTATTGTTTAGCAAGATACAGGGAACTCCGTGCTTCAAATTAACAGATATTTTAGATGACCACCACACGTGACGCTAATTGCTAGAGCTCTGTCACAACAGTAATTTTAGAGGCTACCATCTCAAGCTTGCAGAACTGTACAGTGTTTTGGAATACCTTCAGAGTTTATTTTCCGCATGTTTTTTGAAATCGTAGAAAGACCCACCGGAATCTGTCCTCTCTGCTCCTACCCTGGCAGAATTCAAAGCCCGAGTTGACCGTGCACTCATTTCGCTGCACCACCTTACATGACTCATTAACTATGAATAAACCCAAGTGTCTGTATGGGATTTTATCGGCTGTCAAATCTCAGCTTCCTTTCCACTTCTTCACCTCCTTTATGTGTACACAAGAAGGAGACAAGAGTTTTACCAACATCCATTATGGATTTATCTTGTAGTTACAGTCTGTACTAGGTATACCTCAATGAGTACATTGGTGAAAACACAATTTTGCTAAAAATTTTCCTATATTTTGAAGTTTCACCACGACCATCCTAACATTAACATTAACATTTTTACCTGTATAAGACCATTGTTCCACTGTTCCATCAAAATAGTTCCCGAATCTCTCGATTATTTGCGAAAAGTCAACTTCTGGGTCATCACAGAAATTCCACGCCTCCAGGATACACCACGCTTCATGGCCGATTGCGTACCGGAACATGGCTAACTGGTATGGCCTCGGATATTCATCTAACTGGATCAGCGCGGCGAAGTTTATCCATTTCATTTTCCACGCCCTCCAGCTTTCCGGTTTTCTTGCAGCCATTTCCCTTCAGAAATTTTAAGAGAGCAAGAACGAACAGCATTTATGCGGGATAACCTGAATTCAGATTATTTCGTGTCTTCTCATTCAGCCGCTTACAGACAAATCGTGGAAATAGTAAAGGAATGCGGTTGAAAAAGGGTCATTAAGAAAATCAATAAAACACGGAGAAAATCAACGTCATCGCCTGCGTCTTATCAGGGCAAGGCAAGACTGGCCACAAGGTCTAACTGTTTGCAAAGGTTTGCTTTCATTCGTCGGATGGCCGAGGCTTCAGCGAAACGAAGCAAGCTCGCATTGTTTTGTCTGTTGATAACCTTGAATGCGTCACGTGGGTTTTCGCACAAGGTACAATCGAGCATATGCTGAGCGATGGAGCTGGCAGGGCGCTTAGGTCCATTGTCTGCCAGGTTCCGTGGAACATGTTCCATGATCCTAATTGATAGCCTTCTCTCGGTTCGGCCAATGTACATGCTACCGCAAGTACAGGTGAATTGGTAAACACGAGGCGGTAACCTGAGAGTGAGGCCTATCCAAGTTGGATTCATGGAACAGCTTCTTGGTTTGATGTAACAACACGAGCTCAGCTGCGTAGTAGCACCTTTTTATGGCTTGGCTTAATCGGTAACACAATCTTCTGTCGTCCTGTTCCCCTTTGTATGGTAGCGTGATGAAGATCTTTTTCTTTGGGACATCCATTCGTGTTTCTTTCTTAGCAACCTCATTCCCATACCTGGCGATGAATTTATTAGGATGGCCATTATTGTGTAGGTTAGATTCGATGTATCGTAATTCAGCCTCGATTGACTCTTCAGAGCATATTCAGTGTGCTCTAACAAAACAAGTTCGAACTAGGGATCATTTATAGCTCATTGGACAGTAACTGTTGAAATGTAGATATTGTCCGGTCCAGCTCGGTTTCCGGGAAATCGATCTTATGAGTGAACCATCTGCTCTTCTTTTGAGTGAAACGTCAAGAAAATGAAATGAATTCTCTGATTCACTTTCCATAGTGAACTTGATGTTACGATGACATTTGTTTAACGTTTCCAAAAGGACTTACGCTTGTTGGGCAGTGTCAACTACAACAAAAGTATCGTCAATATACCTCGTGTAAAAGTGTGTTGCTCCAATGACATCGCGTAGTAAGTTACTTTCCAAATGACCCATAAAGATGTCAGCTAGAATCGGTCCGACAGGGCTACCCATCGCCACGCCGTTAGAGGAAAATTGGACGTCTTTCGTATAAATGTTGAGTAGCGTCTTCAATCGATGTGCAGGCAGCCCAACTTTGTCCGCATGCTTACTTATGATGTTCATTGTCTCATCCAAAGGAACCTTCGTGAAAAGGGAACAGACATCAAATGATTTGGTGTGGTTATCTTGAACATTCAAGTGTCGAACTTTGTCAACGAACTCAAGGCAATGACCTTGATTTTTTCAGTGTGTTATTGATCTTTCTATTGACCCGCTTTTTCAATTGCATTCCTTTACTCTTTCCACGATTTGTCTGTAAGCGGCTGAATGAGAAGACACTGTGCTTTCTGTTATCTGTAAATGATGTGACAACGTGATCAACGTGTGTTCATCAAAGGCGTGCAGGGCTTGACACATGTGTACCTCTGGAACAATGTAATGGTCCACCATGAATCAAAAACTAAAGTCTGGGCCTCGATCAGAATTCTATTGTTCGAGAAAAACAGGCTCATTGTATGCATCACATCACTTAGACTCACACACAAATTGACGCAGCTTATCCGGTTGTTTTGCTCGCGACCTCCACTTAAGTTCTTTTCTCGTCATTCCAAATCAATTATCCATTTGATGTCATCGGTTAGAGGCTGTCGGTGCTAGCAAACAATAGGTTCGCCCGGGGTCACTGCTG